ATTTTTAACAATTTTAAAGTTTCAGGGGATTTTTAAGGATAATTTTAATTGATCGGCCTGTTTAAATATTTCTTTTTAATTCGGCTTTTAATTATTGTATTTGTATTGTAGTTTTTACGAGGCTGTTAGCCGCCCTGAGTCCCATGAGGAGAAGGGCGGGGTATAAATTAAATTATAAATAAATAAATAAATAAATAAAAAAGGCTCTATGACTATCTCCCCCGTTTCCAGATCATTTTGCCACTGGCCAGAGACAAAAATCAGATCCAGTGTGTGACCTCCTATGTGAGTGGGTGCATGAACTAATTGGGTCAAGTCCATGGTTGTCATGGAGGCCATGAACTCCCGAGCCACTGCCGACGTTTCGCCCGCCGATGGCAGGTTGAGATCCCCCATGACTATCAGTCTGGGGGTCTCCACCGCCACCGCGGCTATACTCTCTGTGTGGGTGTTTCATACAGTACGTATGTGTGAGAGAGAAAGAATGTGTGTGTGCTTGTGTGTGTGTGTCCATCCATCATGTTCCTTCATTTTTGGCTAAGCAAAGTTATGCCAATTGCAAAGCAAAGAATAAAAAAATAATTAAAAAATTAAATGACTTAAGGAAAAGAAAGGAAATATAGTAAAGCTTAGTTTATACAAACACCATTCACTATACTTCTCGGTACCTTTTCTTCTTGAAAGCTATCCCTCCTGTATTTTATTTTATTTTATTTTTATTTAATTAATTTTAATTTTATTTCATTTTATTCCTCGACTGCCCATCTCCCTCTGCAAAGCAACTCCCGCCATTTTCTTCGTCACTGCCTTTCATTTTTTGGATGGTGATTTTCTCGTTCAAATTGCTATCAGTTGTTGCTATCAGTTGTGCAAGGGAGCTTAAGATATTATGTTTAAAATATCCCCTTCACCCCATACATTTTCCAGACTAACACTATGGTAGGTAGGCACATTGGAAAGATTAGAAGAAGCAGCAGGAAGATTGGCTGTGAGGAGTTAACTCTGATAGAAATCTGAGTGTGTGGGGAGGTATTTAGTTTTTAAAGGGAAGGTAACAGCATTTCTTAGAATTGTTTGCTTTGATCACATAAAGCAGAACAAGGGAGAAGAGATGATGAAATGATGGATCATAGATGAAAATTGATGGAACAAGAATAAAAATGCTTACAATAATTGCTGGCTGATCAGCATTTGGGACAAATTTTGAAATAAAGAGGGGATAAGGGTTGTAAACGTGAAGGTGAGTATTAGGATTGATGGAAAATAAACAAGTAATTAAAGAACAGATAGATTTGAGAAGATAGATTAAGTGCATTGAGAAGGATAAGTTAAAAGCTAATACCTGTAAGTGCTCCAGTCTCTCCTTCAGGGATTTCAACATTCTCTCCATCTGATGTATTGCAGCAGATGCCTCATTGGGTGGATCTTCCATAGCATTAGCCTGAGCAGATGTAGATCCCTTGTGAGAAGAATCATGAGCGTTGTGCCCGACCTGTGGTTCATGGTTCCCTGGTTCTGCAGTCTGATGATGCTCATTCTCTTGGGCATGGTGGCCTTCATGGAGATCTTGATGGCCAGTGTCACGGTGTCCCCTATGGCCATCTTCATGGTGAGACTGGTGGGCATCCTCATGATGTCCCCTTTGGCCATTGTCATGATGGCCCCGATGCCCAACTTCATGATGGCCGTGCTTATGGTTATGATTCTCTTCCTGATGATTTCCATGATGTTCACTATGCCTCCGGGAATGAGTTTCACAGCGGCTCAGCTTGGCTGTCAGTTCTCTCATGGTCTCCCTCTGGTCAAGGATCATTTCCTTTTGATGCACCACTGTCTCCCTCAGATGCAGGATGGTTTCCTTAGCTTCTTCTAGAGTCCCCACCCAATGGCCATTGCCTGCACCATTAGCTGCGCCTCCATGTCGTTGATGGCCATTTGAATGGCAACCACTATCCATATCCAATGGCATAGGACTGCAGATAAATTTAGGTAAACCATGTTCAGAGGCTATCACTAGTGGGGAAAAGACGAGACAGAGCAAGGTCCAGTGCATTGTGATCACCAAAGGTGGGATGTTTAGTGGATGGGAAAAGGGTAGGAGCGGGGATGGAAATGGGCTGGGCAATTCAGGATAGATTAGATAGCCACAGAAGCAGATGATAACTTCCAAAAAGGCGAAGTCTTTAGAGCTTGAAGAATCCTATTGTACAACAGATTTCAATCCTGCATCCATTATCCAGATCTTCTCTTAGATAGCCAATAAAATTCCACCAGAAGAAATTCAACCTCTGTCAAGAAGGAGATACAAAGGTCTTTGACAGGAGAGAAGATACTCTAGATGAAGCTCTTCAAGTCATGTTTGGTTCACCAGGTCACCAAGCCTTCAATACCCAGAATGGCTGGTTCCATTGTCTCAGAAACTGAAGCTTTTCCTCCTTCCCAAATATCAATTTCTTGCTTCTCAGCAGAGCCAAACTGCCAGCAGACATCCAGACACTATAGTCAGGTGGGTTTTGAACTTTTCCTGCCTTTCCTTCCTGTCTAATTTTCCAAATCCACTGGTGATGAGGAGCAAAGCATCGTTTCCCTTGGCGACTGAGAAATTAATGGGCTTAAAGTGTTACAGCAAAGCTTTTGCCTTCACCACTGCCTACTGTCTCCTCTCTGTTGCTAAGGCTTCTAGCCTGGCAGCCTACATATAACCCCTCCTGAGAAGCTAAAGCTTCACTCAGAAGAATTAAGGTATCAGCCAAGAAGAAATAAGCTAAATCCAAGCTATGAAATTATTCCTATTGTTCTCTTCTAATGGCAATTATTTACCCAGAGTGTATCACTTCCAGCTGGATTTAGAGTACATGAAACTTCAACAATAATAGGAAGGACAATTGTGCCAAGTAGGTAAAACTCACACATACCTCTAATGCATAGCTAGATGATCTACAGATAGACCGTGCCTTTCCATCCAAGGGCCTAATCAGATAATTTCAACTATATGAAAAACACAAAGCAATCTGAACCAAAATATAAACATTACATTCCCAATATTAAATTAGTGGTACATTTATCACAATTTATTCCAGTGTCCCAAGGCTTGGGAAGTTCAGGACACCTCCAACATGGTATTTCCTTTGAAAGCAAGAGTTTTTATAGTGTTTTTGTAAATATGAGGAAAAATCTATATTTCAGCAGTCTGAGAATAGGGAACCTGGCCCACAGGTGAGTCTGTGCTTGACAATAGTCCTGATGACCATTTCAATGTAGGCTTAGAAACTGTAGGTCTTAGAACAGGGGTGTCAAAGTGCCGGCCCGCAGGCCGGTTGCATCATGCAGAGGCTGCACCCACCCCAGCTCCGGCAATGCAAAAAAAGTCACAATACGTCGTGACACATATTGACCCCCATGTCTTAGAAGCTCTTCTACCAAGTTTTGATTTCTCCTATAAGAGACAATTTATTCACCCATATTGATAGTTTGCATTTTCCCCTCTACATTTCCTAACTAGTAGATTGAACCACTGAACGCTAGAATTAATTTAAGGTTGAAGGACTATTAACCCACGAGTTTCATCCGTTCTAAATCTAGATGTAAGTTAGGCCATATGCTGGCTTGTCTGCAATGTTACTTATCTGATTGTAGAGCAAAGTAGAGCGATGGAAAATGTAGTCCTTCAACCAGCCTCCCAATTTAAAATGAAAAGACTCCCAATCTAGATTAGGCCATTGGGCATTTATAATAAAGAAAATGAAAAATACAGATTGGAATGGAACAACACTTAATGTGTGTTTCTTTAGTTTAATCTTTGTTTCTACTGCAAAGAAATGACTGAAGAGTATAATGGTATGAAGGAATATCTAGGAATCCAATTGCTTCTTTCTGGGACCTGCGCCCAAATAAATCTCTACAGCAGAGCAGCGTAAATTAAATCATAGTAATTTGTTTTCATTGAATGTAATGTGATTCAATTCTCACTAACTTAATCTGGATTTAATCATAATCCAGTTTTAACATACAAGTACCCTCTTAGGATCAATTTAACATCTAAGATTAAATATAGACCAGAAACAGGAATCATGAAGTGCAGAGATATTTCTCTTTTAAAATCCATGCTACCAGGCCATTTAAAAAGTGGAATCTTTTAGTAAAATCCAACAACTATTCAGAATTTTGAATTTGTGACAAGCAATGACCTTATTGTATTAATATGAATACAAATTTACTTTTGAGGGACTTTTAAAAAGAAACCTATTGCTTTTTCATGAAAAGTGTAATCTTTTATATTTTGTTCCCTCAATGTATTTTTGCCTCCAGTTGAGACCATTAATATGCATCTCACAAATCACCATATATATTTATGGTGATATATATATATTTAATCTAGACATCCAGGCTTGGAAAATACAGCATCCAACCTCAGCAGTTACCTATCAACTTATTGTCTTCAAATTATTCTAGGTAAAAAATAATGCTAATAAATAATTATAGTCATGTTCTTCCTGGTTTTGGCTACTCAATTACAGTGAATGGTTTGACATTTTCTTGTCTCTCAGAGCCTAAGGCTCCACATAGTTTGGTCCAAAACACATCTTCAGCCTCAGGATCTTCGGGCCAAGTAAGGTAGCTCTCTTGTTTAATTAGTTTCCTTAGGCGATGATATGGAGACAACCTAGAAAATAACGAAAGGATTGGGATTTTTTTTTATTTTCCCCATCTCAGACACAAGAATAGACACAAAGAAGTGTGTAAGGAAAAGACACCCTGGTCCACACCCAAGCCAACTGTGAGGGAGACTTCTAAACGTAAAAGGAAAGCAACTGCTCGCTTCTGTTGTTCTGGTAGTGAGTGGGATGCCATCTTGAATAGATATTGTAGACCAGTATTTCTCAAACTGCAACTTTAAGAAATGTGGACTTCAACTCCCAGAATACCCCAGCCAGCATCCTGGCTAGGGCATTCTGGGATTTGAAGTCCACTTTTCTTAAAGTTGTTGAGTTTGAAAAACACCACATAGATTTTTCTTCCACCACAAATAAACACATTTATCGCTCTTCTAAAGCCATCTCCAAACTGGTTATTATAATCCCCATATCAAGTGGCAGGAAAAAAAATTCCATAAATTAATGATCACTTAGGTAAAGATTTTTATTGTTGTCATCATTCATGTCCAATCACTGGGTGACCTCAAGTTGTAGCATAGTCTCTCAAGTAAACACCTTCCCGAGGCACTTGGGCTGTAATTCCCAGAATTCTTGTCCCAAAGATGCTTTTTCAAAAAGCAACTGACTTTATTTTTCCTTGAAGACTTTTCATCTGATCATTAGCACTGAAAGGATTGTCCTTTCAGCAGCTGCAAGAAAGTTCCACACCCCTTTGTACTATTCAGGGGAACCTGAGGGCACAGATAAACCTCCAAGTAGCCTCAGTGAGAAAGAGTGCTAATGACCAGATGACTGCAAGGAATATAAATCCTTTCATCCTCCACCATTCAGTCAGAACTGAAGAAGCTTCTTGGATGAGAAGCAAAACATCTTCAAGGAAAAACAAAGTCTAGTTGCCTTTTGAAAAAGGACCTTTGGGACAGCCATGACCTGGATGACTGAGAAACTCCTTAGACACTATGTACCTGGAGAGTACCAGGTGAAAAATCTGACCTAGCATATAGTAAGAGGAAATTTCTATCTAGTTTTCTCTGCTACATCCTCTTTCCATCTTTAGTCAAAACGATGAGGACTACACCAGATGGCCCAGCAGGACAGGTGGTTGGGGAAAGCTTTATCATAGAAGCATAAGGCTAGAACGGTACTTGGAGGTTTTCTAGCCCAACTCCCTGCCCAAGGCAGGAGCCATGTGGCTCTCTTTTTTCATTATGGAAAGAGTTAAGATATTTCCTGCTCATTCTTCCTTATTCCAACCTTCTGCATCCTAACTGCACTCCTCATACCACAAATCTTTTCTTCCCACTAAAATATAAGCAAATGAAACTCCTGCTTTATATGACAATCTTTTTAAGACCGCCTTCGTGTGGATGATCAACTGTCCCTACTCACCTGTAGTTCAGAATTTCTTCCTTAAAGACCACCACCAAAGGGTCACGTCCATGATAGCAGATATTGGAACAGGCAAGTTGAATTTCTAAAGCACACCATTCACTCTCCAAGTAATTTCTGCTCACCACACACAAGGTCTTACGGCTTCTGCTTATTCCATTCTGCACGTTATCTATATAGTATTGTCCAGGGGCAAAATCTCTAGGCCCAAAATAAAACCGGAAGCAGGGTTCATGTTGTTTTTCCAGCTTTTCCAGAATATTATCAGTCACCCATTTGTAGTCATGACTACAGCAGGAGATGTAAGCATCATATTGGTAGTCCCATCCTTTGGGGTGCAGCTGGCTGTAGCCCCAACCTCTGAGGAGATAAAAAGCATATCGGAAAGTCCAGCCTAACTTGGCATAGACCAAAGATGGAAGCAGGAACAAGAGGGTGGTAACTGTGGCAAAGGTGCCCGAGTCAGGAGTCACTTCCATGGCAACCCCCTTTGCTGGTGACTTCCTTTTGGGAGCAATTGCTGAATTAGGCAAGCGCCCCTGGTGGAATTCCATTTCTCTTGCAGTTTGTGATTTGTGTGGATACCCCCGGTTAGTCTCCCCGTCTGGAGCACTATCTGTCATATGTGAATACTGTGGATACCCCCGGTGTGACTCCCTGTCTGGAGTGATTATGGATGTGTGGGATGATCCCCTATCCAATGAATTCCTATTTGGAGCACTTGTGGAACCTTGGGATGAATCCCAAGCAGCCTCTGTAACAGCTAGTGAGGGCCTGTTAGGCCTGGAAAACTCCTCCCCCCCCCACCAGAGCAGAGCCAGGAGCGGAAGGGTGAGAGTCCAGTCTCCAACGCAGTTGGTCTATGTGCCTGCGAAGAACACGGCCGTCCCCCAGGGCAACTTCGTAGGACTACGGCCCCGAGACCTTGCAGACCACAGCTGTGACCCAGAGATGTCCAGGCCCATAGTTTCTTGCCCAAACTGGATCACCCACCTGGAGTCTCCTAGGTGCCTGCGGTTGTGACACCTGTGAAGCCACCCGGTCAGGGTGCAGCCTGTCCAGTTTAGTAATAAGGCGGCGACCCCAGCGGAGTTCAGCAGGGCTCTTCCCTGTAGCTGTGCATGGTGTGGTGCGGTGTGCAAGAAGGAAATCTGCTAACCTGTGATGCCAGTTACCATAAGTCAGTTTCTTGAGAGCATCTTTAGTGGTGCGCACCATTCTCTCCGCCAGTCCGTTGGAGGATGGATGGAAGGGAGCCGATGTCGCATGCCGGATCAGGTTGGCTTGAAGGAAAGCCTGAAACTCAGAAGATGTAAATTGAGGACCATTATCAGAGACCAGAACATCTGGAAGACCGTGTGATGCAAAAATTCCTCTCAACACCTGGATGGTCCTGGCAGTAGTAGTGGAGGAAACAGGAACAACCTCTAGCCACTTGGAATGGCTATCAACAACAACCAGGAAGAATTGCCCCTGAAAGGGCCCAGCATAATCTATATGCACTCTAGACCATGGGGTTTGAGTTTCCTCCCACCTATGTACTGGGGCCTGAGGCATTTCAGGCCGTGACTGTTGGCACACTTGGCACCCATGCACCTGGGCCTCGATGGCTTTATCTAGCCCAGGCCACCAAAGAAGGCTGCCCGCAAGCGCTTTCATCCTGACTATACCAGGATGTCCATCATGCAGAGAGATCAGGATTCTAGATCTCAATGAGGCTGGGATCACTACCCTGCTACCCCATAACAGGCAACCCTTGAAAGTGGAAAACTCATGCTTCTTGTGCCAGAAGCTTTGAAACTCAGTATCTGGGCACTTGTCAGGCCAACCTGACAACACCCATGTTAACACGCGTGTAAGCGTGTGATCAGTGGCAGTTTCTGCAGCCACGTCCCTAGCATTGAGGGGAGACTCAGGCAACTCCTGAATGGAGAGAATATTAATAGCTGGAGCAGGGTCTGGCTCTAATTGGTTCAGGGGTAATCTGCTCAGGCCATCTGCATGGCCCATTTCTTTTCCAGGTTTGTGAACTAATGTGTAGTCATATGCTGACAGGAAAATGGACCATCTCAGCATACGAGGATAAATGATATGTGGGGTCTGTTTGTTAGTGGTAAACAAACCCAGCAAAGGCTTATGGTCAGTATAGACCATGAAATGGCGGCCATATAAGAAATCATGAAATTTCTTTATGCCAGCCACTATGGCCAAGGCTTCCCTGTCAATTTGAGCGTAATTTCGCTCTGCAGAAGACAGAGTCCTTGAGTAATAGGCTACAGGGACCTGTGTCCCATCAGCCTTCAGATGGCTAAGTACAGCCCCCACCCCATAAGGAGATGCATCACATGCGATGCACACAGGCAGTTGCTCATTGAAATGCGCCAACACAGCATTAGAAGTGAGCAAGGCCTTAACCTA